CAAATGCGGCGCTCAGCAATCCCATTTTGCTGTGGAGAGTCCGGAAGCGTGAAGGTCTGGCGGATGCCTCGTGCACGACAGTAGGCTCGCAGAAGGCCAGAGGAGAACTCTCCACCTCTGTCAGAGTGCAGACGCAGAACAGGAAAGTCCGAGCCGAAGCTCTGCCTGAGCTGGAGACGAGCTGCGCGGATCCAGTCGATCAACACCTCAGTGACATCACCCTTGCTGCGCAAGGGGAAGACTGTGGTGTAGCACGAGTAGTCGTCAACCACCAGCAGGAAGTAGCGCTCGTGACCCTGTCCACGGACGCGGGCCGGGCCCCACACGTCCATGTGAAGCGTCTGCAGCGGGGCCTCTGTCGGAGGAAACTGGGAGGAGTGAGGGGCAGCACGCTGCCGCCCCTCGACACAGGGGACGCAGGTAGGGCCAGGCCCCGGAGGAAGGGGAGGGAGGGACCGGGGAAGACCAGAGACAAGGACACGGGAGGCCATGCCTCGGAGACGAAGCAGGGAGGGGTGACCAAGGCGGTGGTGCCAGAGGAGAGTCTCGTGAGACGGGAGGCGACACGAACAGGGGGCAGAGTCATGACCAGACCTGGACGCTGCAGCAAACACCTGACCCGACGCAGCTACCTGACCAGACGCAGTGACTGGAGGAGACGCAGTGGTCAGTGTGTACAGGCTCGACCCCGGCCGACGTGTAAACGTGGCCAGGTGTCGGCCTGTCCGAGCGTCCGTGCAGTGGGTCACCCGCTGACTCGCAGGAGTGAACTGGTGAACCCCCGCATCCTGTAGGTCAGCACCACTCACCAAGTTCGTAGAGAACGAGGGGAGGTAAAGACCAGACAGGGTGCCAGAGGGGGCCGCCGGACACGGGAGGACAGTGGAGAAGTGAGCAAGGACAGGACCCCCAGAGGGGTCTGCCAGAGAGACTGCAACTGGCCGGCCAAGCGGCGTGAGTGTGGTGCGGTCTCGAAAGAAGGAGCGAGAAGCCCCCGAGTCAAGGGTGAAGGTGTGGGAGGCCGAAGCCGACGCAGTACCTGAGAGAGCAGACTCACCAGCACCTGAGGGAGCAGACGCACGAGCACCTAGAGCAGCAGCCTCGCTAGCACCTAGAGCAGCAGCCTCACCATTACCTAGAGCAGCAGTCTCAATGCCCGGGTCGGGCGGAAAACACCGGTAACAGTCACCCTCATCACTAATAGTCACAGCATACATGGCAGCAAGAATAGCATCAAAGTCAAGGTCAAAGACAGCTACACCCGCCCTAGACAGCTCGCCCCAGCGGGGGATCTCAGTGGCCTCAGGGAACTGGTGACACCAAGCGTCCGTCAGGCGGCCAAAGCAGCGCTGGGTGGAGTGCGCACCCCCGCACTGCTCACCCGCGCGGTCGCCGGTGCGTAGGACGTAGGTGCACGGACCAGTACCCCCACCCCGCTGGCGTGCAGCGTACCACTCACGGAGCTGCTGAGGGGGGGGGATGTCACGAGTGCGCTGCTGCCGCTGCTGCTGCTGCTGCTGGCGCTGACCACCACCGGAGCTGACCCTCTGCGCAGCGCCACCCCGACCAGCTCCACCTCCTCCGCCGCCGCCTCCTCCACCGCCGCCACCTCCGCCACCTCCGCTCCCACCGCCACCGCCGCCGCCGCCTCCGCCTCCACTGCCGCCACCGACACCTCCACCCCCGCCACCACTTCCACCACCACCCCCACCCCCTCCACTGCCTCCACCGCCACCTCCGCCACCCCCGCCAGCCCCTCCAGCACCCTTGCCCCCCTTGCCCTTGCCGGTGCGGCGTCTCCCGCTCGGGGCAGACGCAGCGCCGACCGACTCGAAACCAACGAGGTCGGCCGCAGCAGCAGAGGCAACAGAGGGCAAAAGGGGGGAGGGGGAACACCCCTCAAAGACGGGGGTGCGAGGGTCACCACGAGAGGCTCCTACAGCGACTATGCTCTTCTCTGCTGCTAGGAGGGCCTTCTCGAGGAGGTCAACGGTGAGAGTGGTGGGGCAAACTGAGAGGAAGTGGTCCCTGACTACGCGAAGGGAGTCAGGGAGCCGGGTGACAATGTAGTAGAGGGTGATGTACATGGGGGGGGGGTTCTTGGCGCAGAATTCAGCAGGAAGCGCAGCGCGGTAGCGAGTGTCACTAGTGCGGAGGTGCGTAATGAGGTCAGCGACTGTAGAAAAGGCAGCAAGGTCAGGGAAGAGGTACGGTAGCATGAGGCGGCTCAGTGCAGCAGTGGCAGGGGAGGAGTAGCGCGCAACAACAGCGTCGTACAAGGTCTGAGCACTCTTGTACTGGCTAAAGTGCGCACGCTCGGAGGTAGGCAGGTGGCGACGCACAGCAAGACGTGCAGCAGCATCGCGTGTGGCCCACTGTGAGCGAACAGTGGCGTCGGCATCAGCAGCAGGGGCAGGAGAGGCACCAGAGGTGAGGTCAAAGAGGGAGAGACCGTCTGCCCTATCGCACTGTAGGAAAAGCTGCAGGTCATCTACCCAGACGTCAAAGTCAATGGCCCGACCCTCAGCGTCAAAAGCGAGGACACTAGGGGTAGCCATGACAGCAGTAGACTAGCAGCGCGAACAGTAGGGTAAGGGCAGTGCAGTGACAGAGGCGCTGCTCTTACCGGACAGGGCGGCTCAGGCGGCTCGGCGGCTCGGCGGCTCGGCAACTCGGCGGCTCGGGCGGCTCGGTCGGCTCGGCGGTACGGCGGCTCGGCAGCAACTGCGGCTCGGCGGCTCGGGCGGCTCGGGCGGCTCGGCGGTACGGCGGCTCGGCAGCAACTGCAGCTTGGCGGCTCGGCGACCCGGCGGCTCGGGCGGCTCAGGTGGCGCGGCGGCTCGGGCGGCTCGGGTGGATCGGGCGGCTCGGCAGTAGCTCGGCGGGGCCGGCGGCTCGGTGGTGACGGCGGGGCCGCGTGGAGCGGCGTCGGGGCCGGGTGGAGCGGCGTCGGGGCCAGTAGAGGCGGCGCCGGGGCCGGGAAGGGCAGCTCCGGGGCCGCAGGGGTAGGCGACGGGGCCAGCAGAGGCGGCGCCGAGGCAGGGAAGGGCGGCGCCGGGGCCGCAGGGGTAGGCGACGGGGCCGCTAGGGCGGCTAGGAGGGGGGGGTCGCGAGGGCGGCTTGAAGAGGCCGCGAGGGCGGCTAGAAAGGGCCGCGAGGGCGGCGTGAAAGGGCCGCGAGGGCGGCGCGTCGGGGGCCGCAAGGGCGGCGCGACGTGAAGGGGCCGCGAGGGCGACGCGACGGGGCCGCAAGCGCGACGCGACGGGGCCGCTAAGGCGGCGCGACAGGGTCGAGAGAGGGGAGCGCGACTCGGGCAGTGTAGAGCGCGCTCCGGGCAGGAAAAAAAGGTGGTGGGCCCTAGGAACAGTTCCCACAGGGGAACCTGCTCGATACCATGAGAAACTGAACGAGAAATGGATTGACTAAGGGAAAGTTGGGTACAAATACAAACCCTAGAAAACTGTACCCCATATGTGCTACCCCACTATAGCCTACAGTAGCTATGTCATATAAATCTGACACGTTAGCGGTATCCACGGAGGAACGAGAGACCAAGGAGCTGCTGCTGGAGAGAATCGCATTTAACAGGCATATTCTCTTGAAAGGTACACGCCAGTAGGAGGGCAGAAAGCGGCGAAGCGGCTTTGGGATGTCAGGCTGGGCGATCTGGTTGGAAGAGATGCGGACGGGAGGGGGATGCTGAAAAGCCTTGAAACCCTAGAGAGGGAGTTGCGGGGGAGAGACTCAGCAAGTCTTGCGCTCAAGGCTTTTGCAGCTGCGCCGGAGGCCTGGAGGAATCAGCTCATTTCGGCTGTACTCCCGAACATGAGCTTTGCGGACGAATACGAGGTTGGCAGAGGGGGACCCCTACAGCTCCGGGCAAAACTGTTGGCGGAAGGAAAAGCAATTCCGCTGAGGTCGCTCAGAAAGTACTGGAAGCATGGCAACAGTGGACAGAACAGGCGGGAGAAATGGGCGAGTCGTTGGGGCGGAATTATTGACTGGAAGCGGGCAGTTCAGATTCGGGAGTCACTTGTTACCCCGAGCCGGCCAAGAGATGTTCTGCTGCGGATCCACTGCCTTAATCTACAAGTAGGGGAGCGTCTGGAGTTTCTCAGCAGCAAACCAGTCTGTCCTCACTGTGGGAGTTTTGAGACACTGGAACACTGTCTTTTGGAGTGCCCGAAAACCCAAGGGGTGACTTCAGCGGTTAAAAAGGCGCTACGGATGATCAATCCAGGCAGGAAATGTGACTCGCTCGGTGATTGGCTGTTTGGCAAAGCCGAGTCCCAGTCAGCATTTCCGGAGGCTACACTGGTTGCGATTGCCCTCCATCAGCTATGGGCGGAAAGGTGCGAAAGGGCCTTTCGAGGCTGTAAATTCCGCACGCGAAGGGTATTGCGGAGAATTGAGTCGGCCCTCCGCATGCAAGTGAACGTTTACCTGCGTGCTTCTGCGACAAGGATGCAGCAGCGTGGGAAGGAACAGCAAGACAGGTGGCGGAAAATGACAGTGCAAGAGCGTGATCTTCTGAACCGTATCAGAGTGGTGGATGGCAAAGGTTGGAAGTGGTCCAACAGCTTCGCAGCAGTTTGGGGCAAACCTCGCAGGCCCCGGATCCATGCTTGAGGATCAAATATTCTGAGGCGGGCTCCCGTGTCTCTCATGCACAGTTACGACTGTTTATGCGTTGTACACTTGTGTTCTGGTGTATAATTCATATAAGCAAAAAAAAAAAAAAAAAAATTCTCGCTTTTCCACCCCGTCGTTTTCTCTCTTCACGACGCTCGTGTACTTTGATCAGCTCGCCAAACCGGTCATGCCTTTCTAGGTGAATCGCATCCGTCCATCCACGCCCGAGAATGCGCTAGCATCGTCCTCTCGATCTCATCTCCCTCTATCCGTGCCCTGCTATTCGCCGCTCTGTCCCACATTCGTGGATCTGAATCAATCGTTGAATCCGCAATATAACCGACAGTAATAACAGCGTAGTCACCTATATGACCATGGCAGCTCGATTCCTCTCCCGACGCTCCACCTCCACCCTCAAATCCCTCGCCAACACACCCGCCGCGATCCCCGCCGTCGCCGCAACGGCAGGCACCACAGTCACCTCGACCGTTAGGCCAAGCCGAGCCCATGCGGAGTCTTTCTTTTCTCGTGGCGTTTCCACCAGCACCCGACCGATCAGCAGCAGCGACAGCAGCAACAACAGCGGCACCAGCAACAGCGGCGCCAGCACGGGCATAAACGCATGTGCCAGCAGCATCAGCAGCATCGACATCAGCAGTAGCAGCAGCAGCAGCGGCGGCGGCGGCGGCGGCGGCGGTGGCGGCAGCAGCACATCGGTCCACCCCGTTAGTTTTTCCCATCACGAGGTCCCCTCATCCCCCAGGGACGCGCTTCCGCTCGCTCCCCCGCCTCTCACCCCCTCCGCCACTCGCATCCCGCGCGTGGCATCCCCAGCCAATCGCCCCCTCTCCGGAATCTCCGCCGCCTTTCGCTCTCAGCCTCCCACCGCCTACCTCCCGTCGTTGGCCCCGTCCGCTCTCTCTCCTTCCTCTCCTTCCCCAACTTATGCCTCCGCATCCGCCTCTTCCCCGTCTCCTGCCCAATCCGCCGCTAACCGTCCGCCATCAATCCCCCGCTCCGCTCACTCTCCCCGTCCCTCCCCCTCACCTTCCGCCTCCCGCGCTCCCATCCCCGTACCCTCGGCCTTCTCCCCCTCCCACCGTCGCCCCTTCCACTCCGCCTCCTCTCACCTCTCCACCTCCCCGCGCAACGCGCTCCCCGCCTTCTCCAGCGCCGTCGCCGCGGCAGGATCCACCGCCTCCGGCGGCTCCCCGGCCGCCGGCAGCGGCGGCGGCGGCGCTTCGTCGGGCTCACCTCCCGCCGCGTCAAGCGGCGGCGGCTCGGCGCGCGGGTTCACATCGTCGGCTTCGTGGTGGGGGGGCGGGCAGGGGGAAGAGGAGGAAGGGATGGGGCTAGCGGGGGACGACGATCACGACTCCGCGGTCGCCGCCGCCGCCGCTAGCGCCGACAGCGCCAAGTACGCGCGCGAGCAGGCTCCCGCGTGGCTCCCCCTGGTGCCCGGCGCGGGGTACTGGTACCCGCCCGTCGATCCCGTGACGGGGAAACCGCGGTGGGAAGGGAAGGCGCGGCGCGGGAGCGAGATGTGGATGGCGTCGGTGGCGCTGCAGGGGGAGCGGCTTCCGCTGGACGAGCACGTGGAGATGCAGGCGGTGCGGCTGCTGTGGCAGCTGAGCGTGGGCGACGGGCGCGTGGACGGCAAGAGCAACCTGGAGCGCACCCTCGCGCTCGTTGCGCCCGCTGGCCACCCGGACCTCCTGTACTCGAGTGCGTTGAGGTCACAAGTGCGGGAAGGGAAGGGGAAGGGAAGGGGGATGGAATGGGAGGGGAAGGGGAGGGGAGGGGTAGAAGGGGAAAGGGGCCCCCGTTAGGCACCCGAAAATTTTGTACTCGAGTGCGCTGGGGAAAGGGGGTGTGGGGGGGGGGGGGGGGGGGGCAAGAGGAGAGGGGACGGGGGCGGATGAAAGGGGAAGGGTGAAAGGGGAGGGTTGGGGGGAATGGGAGGGATGGTGTGTGCGTTTGGGGGGCCTCGGTGGGCAGTGTGTGCGTGGGGCGAAAAGGAGGTTAAGGAGGGAAAGGAGGGGAGGGAAGAGGTGCTTGGTGGTGAGAGTGTTTAAGGGGAGCTAATTAATGGTACTGGGAGGGGAAGAGGGAAGAGGGAGTATTCAGGCTATTCGTTGTTCTGGCCCCTCACCTCATCACCCCTCATCACCCCTCATCATCCCTCATCACTGTACTTCGCCCCCTGCTTGATATGTCCCCGCACACTCTCCCTCGCAACTCTCCATCCCACCAGGCGTGGCCCATGCAGCGCACCTGGTCGCACAGAGGGCACCTGGTCGCACAGAGGGCACCCAACCTGTTCATCAGGCTCGTTTGAGAAAGTCCCAGCCACTCATGTCCTCCCTCCGCTCCCTCCTCCCCCTTTGCTCCCTCTCCTCCCTCGGCTGCTCGCTCCCACCAGCGCTGGGCTATGCAGTGGACTGGGATGTGCAGGGAGCATACAATAGCGTTGGTAGGGAGGCATACGAGGAGGCACACGAGGAGCCTGCTATGGAGGCGGAGAGGCAGGCGGGTCCACAGGAGCACGAGATAGCTGACCCCTCTCTTCCCACGCCTCACACCATCCACGCCCCCTCTGCCCCTGTCGCAACGTGAGTTGATCGCATGCACACCCTGCACCCTGGCCCCTGCTTTCTGGATTATTCCTTTCTTTGCGGTCGTTCCTTTCATTCATTTGTTCTCTTGTTTTTTCTTCTTGTTCTCTTTTTATTTTCTTTTCTTTTCTTTTATCTTTACTGGAATTATACTGGTGGGTATGTGTGCATGTGCGTGTCCGCATGCACATGGTTGATGTGCCCACATGCATGCCCTTCCACCCCAACCAGGGACGAGGACCCCATCTCCGGCCCATCAGCGCCAGCACCGCTCTTGGCACACACCAAGCGCACGTATCAGCCCAGCACCATTCGCCGCAAGCGCAAGCACGGCTTCCTCTCCCGGTGCGTGCTGCGTCCAGGTTTGCTCTCCTGCACCTGTTGTTGCTGCAGGACTGGTAACAGTGTTGAACACCCTTCAATCATTTAGATTGTTCGGGTTTAGGGGACCCGGCCCCATCATGTAGGGCGTGCATGGCATGGGTTATTTGCTCTCTAACACGGCCCTCTGCTGCAACAGTGCTTGGACGTGTGCAGATTGAGAACGATGATGCGGCACGTTCTATGCATGGATGCACATGGATAGACGTGTGCTTGGACGTGAGCATGCATGTGGTGAAAGAGTGGGAGCTTGGGAATGAGTGGCGGTCCATTCACTCTGAACAGTGCGCTCCTTGAACGTGCTCGCTTTTGCCCACCTCCCACCACCTCCTCTTCCCCTCTATCCCTCGTACGCAGCAAGAAGAGCCGTGGCGGTCGCAAGGTGTTGGCTCGCCGCATAGCCAAAGGCAGGTCAAGGCTGGCTGCATGAGCCATGAGTCACGGTCACTAACGGTTACTGTAGGAGACCAGGACTGCACATCACTTGCTAGCAGTATGCGCTGCGCTGCAATGAGGGCAACAACCAGGGGTTTTTTTATCAGAGTAAATTACTCTGTTTCTCCGAAAATCAGAGTGGTTTTTAGGGGGTCACTCTGACGTGTCTGTAATTTTTTTGGAAGATTAGTTTTCTCTGATTTGTCAGGGTTCTGATTTTAGCTACTCTGAGACACCAGTGTATATTTGTGGCGAATGTATTTTTCTCTGTACAGGGTATAGGCATTTGGACCGAGCCCCCCCCCCCGGAATTGGTGAAAGATGGTTAGGCTACGCCGAGTTAATGGATTTATGTTGTCTGATAAAAGCGCGTTGCACAACGGTTATAGTTTTGGTAGGAGTGCAGAAGGCCTGGGTTCAATACTTGAGAGGGCATTCAGGGTCGGAAAAATAGTTACACTGACTGCCCAGAGCATATTTTTCAGAAGTTAAGTTTTCTCTGACAAATCAGAGTAACGCTCATAATTCACCCTGAATTTCAGAGTTCCCTAGAAAACAGCTCTGGAAATCCGAGTAGTGGAAATTCAAAAAAAAGCCCTGGCAACAACACTGGCTGTGGAGGAGTGAGACATGCGGAAGAAGATTCTGATAGTTCGTGGAATGGTAATCCAGTAGCATCAACACATGCCAAAGCACTCTATTTTGCTTGTAGGTAGATTGTTTCATGAGAGAGAAGCTCTAAGGCTGTAGGATTCTGCGTTTTAAAGTGCTCTTTACAAGCAGTGTACTACACCTTCAAGAATTCCATAAAAGCAGGATTTCAACCTCACTAAGAGAGATGAAGACTTAACTGATTAAATCAACTCAAAAGGCTAACTGTAGCAAACAATCCAGGTACTTTACATCAGTACAGCACCATTGACAGATGCACCTACACCCAACAACAATATAACGCACCAGCGAAGCTGAAATATGAAAAGTTTCAACCATGCTGTTCACCCCTTAGCCATAATAAGAAGTCCACTCAAGTTCACACTGTTTCTAGGTATATCTTTCTCACGCTGGTTTGGCGCTTGGAATACGGTATAAGCCTTCCTTGGGCTCTACCCACCCACCCCACACGACATGCCTTCCTTCCCCGCACACCCATCACTCACATTGTTCAAAACAGCATCACATCAAGATAGCAGCACAAGCCACTCCACTGGAAGGGGGAGGGGGCGTCCTGTCACCCCAGCCATTCCCATTCAGCATTACCACCACTCACCATCACCATCACTCAGCAACAGCACCGAGCATGCTCTCTGGTGCATCCATTCCACCACCAAATCGCCTCAAACCATCAACACACTTCGTACATGCCGAATATCCTCACACGCTGCAGGGGGAAGAGGAAGGAGAGGAAGGGGTGTCGTCGCAAGGCCAGCCGGCTTCAGCAGCCACAGTGGCAGCGTCGTGCACGAGGCGGCGAGTGAGGCGAGTGAGGGAGAGCATAGCGGAGCGAGCCAGGTCCAAGGCCGCGTCCTTGTCCCTCAGCTGCCTTTCCATGTCATCCACTGCCACTCCCGCTGGTGCCGCAGCCGCCGCCGCTGCTGCTGCTGCTGCTGCTGCTGCTGAGTCACCTGTTGCTGCTCCATGTTGTCCCCCTTGCACTCCAGCCCCGTTTGCAGGCGTTGCTGCTGCAGGAGCAGCCGACGACTCTGCGGTGGGAATGAGCGCAGCCCGCACAGAAGCAGCAGCAGCACCCGTACCCGCAGCCCCAGCAGTACCATTAGCCGCGCCTGGCAGTGCTGCTATGGCTGCGGCAGTCAAGGCTGCGTCAGCACATTCAGTGGTGAGCTCAGAGCTGAGGTCCGCCAGGGCTTTCAGTGCTGCCACTGCCGTCTCCACCTCCACCTTGGCCACCTGCCGTGACAGCGTCGGGGAGATAGGCGGGGGACGGGGGGGACGGGGGGGAAAGGGTAGGGGGAAGTGGGAGAGTAAAAGGCGGAAGGGGAAGTGAGGATGAGTTGCGAGACTTTTAGAAACCCATCGCCAACTGCTCCTTCGCAACCTGCTCTCATGGGGCTGGTGCAGGGGGAAGGGGGAATGAGGGTGAGGAGGACCGGAGACATAGAGGAAAGGCAGGATAAGGACGAGAGGAGTAAGTGGGGGATGAGAGGGGGGGTGGGATGAGCCAGGACGGAAATACAAAAGAGAAGAAAAGATTGTTGAGGTTGGCAGAGGATAGACACAGAAAAAAGATGTAGCTACGGCAATTCTCAAAATTGTACCAACGCACACACCCAGCCTCGTCACACATGCTCCTAACCCCAACTACCTAAGAAAGCCTTCAACCATCCCCATCCCAATCACCTCGAGTCCAACACACTGCCCCTCACCACACCCATCACACACCACCAACCAACCCCGGTTCCTCTCCACCCCCAGACCTCTCTCTTCCCCTCCTTTTCCCCCTTCCCCCTCCCCTTCCCCCTCCCCCTTCCCCCTCCCCCTTCCCCTTCCCCCTCCCCCTTCCCCCTCCCCCTCCCCCTTCCCCCTCCCCCTTCCCCCTCCCCCTTCCCCCTCCCCCTTCCCCCTCCCCCTTCCCCCTCCCCCTTCCCCCTCCCCCTTCCCCCTCCCCCTTCCCCCTCCCCTTCCCCTAACTCCCCCCCCTGCATGCGCGCGCGCTCACCTCCAGCTCCAGTTTCGTCACTGCCGCCTCCTCCTTGAATGCCTTTGGGGCCCCAGCCTGCGCCGCCGCCGCCGCCGCCTCCGCCGCGGCGGACACGAGCCCGTTGGCGCGCGCGTACTCGCGCAGCGCGGCGATCTCCTGCGCGCCCTCCACCAGCTCCCCCTGCACGCGCTGCAGCTGCGCCTCGCGCTGCTGCCAGCGCTGCTGCAGCGCGGAGAGCGCCACGTCGCGGTCCGCGAGCGCGAGGCGCGCCACCTCGAGCTCCACCTCCTTCTCGCGCAGACACTCGCGAACCGCGTCCAGCTCCGCAAGTAGGCGCTGCCCCGCCATCGACTCGCGCGCCTCCTTGTCCTGCGCGCGGGCGCGGGGAGGGGGAGGGCGAGGGGGATGGGGAGCGGGAGCGGAAAGGGGAGGGAAGGGGGAAGGAGCGGGATATGGGGGGAGCAAGGAACAGGGAGAGAGTGCGGGGAAGAGGGGAAAAGAGGAGGGAAGAGAGTGGGGGAAAGCGGAAGGAGGGCAGATGAGAGGAGGGCAGATGAGAGGAGGGCAGATGAGAGGAGGGCAGATGAGAGGAGGGCAGATGAGAGGAGGGCAGATGAGAGGAGGGCAGATGAGAGGAGGGCAGATGAGAGGAGGGCAGATGAGAGGAGGGCAGATGAGAGGAGGGCAGATGAGAGGAGGGCAGATGAGAGGAGGGCAGATGAGAGGAGGGCAGATGAAAGGAGGGCAGATGAGAGGAGGGCAGATGAGAGGAGGGCAGATGAGAGGAGGGCAGATGAGAGGAGGGGGAAGTGCTAAAGCGTGGAACCACACGAAAGGAGAGATCGGTGCAAGCGGCGACAGAATGTACGGGCGGCAGGTTGCGAGCGACGAGGTAGAGAGGCTGATAGGGAGGAAGAAAGAAAAGCCAGTGGAAACTACGAAAAAAAACCCCACCACTGTCCGTCCCGTCCCACCCTCCACCCTCTCCACCCACTCCCACACCCCTCCCTTGCCCGTCTCTTCCTCTTCCCCCAATTCCCTTGCTTTCCCCCGTCCCATCCCCCTCACCCTCCCCCTCGCCCTCACCCTCCCGCTCCCCCGCTCTCCTCTGCCCCCTCGTCCGCGCGCACACCTGCATGGTCTGCAGCTGCACCTCGCGCTCCAGCAGGACGCGGTTCGTCGCGAACAGCTCGTAGTTCGCCTGCGCCAGCACGGACCCCTCCGTCACCACCGGCACCGCCGCGCCGCCCGTCGCCGTCTCTACCAGCAGCCGCGACAGCCCCGCGATCTGCTCCACAACAGTCTCCGCCTCGCTCAGCTTGATCCGCGATTTCTGGAGATCCGATCCAACGGCCTCTAGCGCCTCCTCGCGCTCGCGGAGCTTCTCCGCCACCGCGGAGACCTCCGCCTCCCGCTCCGCCAGGACCTTCCGCGACAGCAGCAGCTCGCGCCGGAGCGTCGCGACCGCGCGCCCGGACTCCTCGAGCTCTTGGGTCTTGGCGCGGGCGTCGGCTTGCGCCGCCGCGAGGTCGGACTGCGCGGCTTGGAGCTCGAGCCGCGCGGTGAGAAGCTCCGCCTCGCGGAGCTGCAGCGCCAGCTGCGCATCGGAGAGCGCCGCGCTCGTCTGGCGGACCTCCTTGCGCAGCGCGGAGATCTCCGCGGTGGCTTCCTCCGCGCGCTGGCGCTCCGCCAGGAGTTCCGCCTCCAGCTGCGTCACCGCGCGCGACTGCTCCGTCAGCTTCGTCTCCGCGGCAGCGAAAGCGGCGCGCGCAGACTGCAGCTCCGCGCGATCCTTGGCCGCTTCTTTCTGCACCCGCGCAAGCTCATCCTCGCGCTTCCGTAGGAGCGCCACGAGCCGCCCCGCCTCTTCCTCCTTCGCCTCCAGCTCCGTCTCCTGGTCCGCGACCTCGTCGCGGAACCGCCGCACCGCGGCGCGGGACGCCGCGAGTTCCGCCTCCGCGTCGCGCAGGAGAACCGTTGCCCTGTCGAGCTCCAGCGACGCGGAAGATCCAGCGGAGGTGACTCGGCGCAGCTGCTGGCGCAAGAGCTGCAGTTCCCCTTGCGCCGCGTGCAGCGCAACCGCGCGCGTGGAAAGATCTTCCTCTGTGGCGGAAAGCTTGCGCTTCTTCCCCTCAAGGTCCGCATCTACCGCTGAAAGCTCCGCCCGCTGCTGCTGCAACAGCTCGCGCAGCGACGCTACCTCATTGCGCCGCTTTTCCGCCTCCGCCTCTACCTCTGCCAGCTCCGCTTGGTGGGCGGCAATCGCCGCGCCAACGCTGTCCACGGCTTCCCCCTGCTTGGCTGCTTCCGCGCGCACTCTCCGCACCTCGTCCTCCTTCCCCGCCAGCTGATCGCGCACACGCGCGAGTTCCTTCTCCCTCTCCCGCAGCAGCCCAACAGTCCGCTCGAGCTCCTCCCGCTGGGTCCCCAACTGTCCGCGCGCGCGGGCGAGCTCGCTGCGCTTCCCCGCTTGCGCCATGCGCACCGCCTCGAACTCCCGCTCGCGTTGGATCAGCGCGGAGCGCGCAACCTGCACCTCGCGCTCCTCCTCTCTTAGAATCTCCTCGGCTTTCATCAAATCCTTCTCCTTGCGCCGTAGCGACTCGAGCACGCCCACCACGTCAGCCTCCAGCTGCCCTACCGTCTCCTCCAATTCCGCCTCCTCCGCGAAATCCGGACTATCCGCCCGATCCTCGTACCGCTGCGCTTGCGCGAACAGGCGCTCTAGAACTGCGCGGGTGGCCTCCCCCACGCTCTGCCACTGCGTCGGCGGGTCGTTCTGCTGCGGCTGCGCGCGGGAATGCGCCGACGGCAGCTGCCCCCAGTTCCCCGCGCCGTTGTTGCCGGAATTCCCGAATTTCCCGATCCCGCCACTGTTCCCCGCATTCCCATTGCTGTTGCTTCTGGCCCCGCCAACGTTGCCGTCGTTGCCGTTGCTCCCGCCTGGACCGTTGTTGCTGCCGCTGCTGCTCCCGCTCCCGCTGCTACTGGACTTATTCAACACGGCGCGCGCCAGATCCACCAACGGGCCGCGGCTCGCCGGGTGATGGCGGGAACTGCCGCTGCTTTTCCCGCCGCTGCCGCCGCCGGCGGGTGCGCTGCCGATCTGAACAGCGCGGCCCTTGAAGGCGGAAGAGTGCGCCCATCTTGGGAGGGATGGCGGCGGAACGGTTGCTGCGCTACGATGGAGGGAGGAGACGGGTGATGGCGACACGGACATGAGAGCCGCTGACCCTCCCGATGAAGACGTCTGCACATTAGAGGAGAAGAAGGGGGAAGGGGAGAGCGCAAGGGAGAGATTAAGGGAGAGAAAGAGGTGGCGATGAGAAGGAGAGAAGAGAGGGGAGGAGAAAGCGGGGAAAGAAGATGGTGGGGGTGTGAGAGAGTGAGTGACTGAGTGGGAGTAGCATCACGCAGAGAGATTAGGAGGGTTAGATGCAAAACATGAAAGAAATTGGAAACGAAACAGGTCGGGAAGGGGTGGGGACTGGATTGGATAGGTGAAAACTGGGTTGGTCCCACTTATTGTCGAACTTGTCGGAAAGATCCTGACGCAATGCCTAAACCGACATACGACGCTGGAGAAACCAATCGGCGTTGCTTACAACTGACGTCGAGCGGGTCGGAGCTCCAAACATAGCCATTCCTCCGGAGACGCTGCGCTGCCAATGCCTCTCTCGGTATCTGCCGGTAGCTAACTTAAGAAAGACTTGAAGTACTCGGTGACTATAAGTTGCCTGATTGTCCTCAGTAGCTACAAAAGATTCCAGGCTCAACCAGAGGCGAGAATTAGGCAGCTAATAGCAGCCTTAAACAGCTGCGCCGATTCGCAATGTAGGAGATGTGCTCTTAGACAACCTTGCCATTCTAAACAAGGTTAACGAGGCGTACGAACGCGATGCGAGTCAATTGCTGAGGAGGATTATGGGGTGAGGCGAGGAGAAAGTGCAGCAGCAAACCAAGATCTAAGGGCGTGTTAAATCGCCACACAATTCCGAAAATAGGGTGTGGCCGAATTTTCGACGACCAAATGGTCGTCATATTTTTCGCGAACAACGACGAGGTGGCCCAATCAGAGTCGACTCTTTAACAGCCAAAATTTACAGTTTTGGTGGCCGGATTGCAGGCTGGTTCGGAAAAGTTGTTAAATTTGCAGTTACTACAGTAGTTTAGTATGTACGACGAGGTCGCACTTTTGACGGCGATATTTCTCATTTGACGCGATCACAAATTCTTTCGTTGGGCGATGCCGTGCGACGTCGCAGGCGTTTGTCGCACACTGTGTCGAATATTTGGCCGTTTTGGAGTCGACTCGGCGTCGTTTTCGTGTCGACTTTTTAAACGGCCATCATATTCGTAAAATTTTAACGAAATTTGCGACGGTCACCACTTGACTTACGATTGTCGCAAACTGGTTACCTTCGCAGATACGGCCCGACGGATTGTGGCCGAATTTTTGGAGTTTGCGATTTAACACGCCCTAAGCAGCAACCCTAGAGCCGAGAGGAGAAGGCGTAAGGCTAAAGGTGCTGTGCTGTGCAGTAAGCGGAAGGGGGAGGGGAAAGGTGCTGTGCTGTGCCGTTGTGTGGGTGGGGAGGCGGGGAAGGGAATGGTGGAATCGGAAATCGCGATGGAAGAGGTGTGGGTGGTGGGCCGCGCGCGGTGGAATCTGAGTCTGGCGGGCAGGCTAGCGGGCTGGGGGAGAAACCGATGAGCATTGGTTGGGAAGTTGGGAACGGGGAGGTTTGCCTTGCTTTCTCCTTCCCTCTCTGGTCTGGTCGCACTCACACGCACCAAGCTCCAAGAACGTTGACGGGGAGGGAGGTAGGGAGGTACTGCAACGGGCAGCCTTGGAGCTGGTTTGGTTGCTTCGGCGGAACGGAAATGGGTGGACGGGGTTGTTCGAAGATCTCATGATTTCGCACGGGAATTCCAGTGATCGCATTCGTTTTACGAAGACGAGACTGCTCGTTTATTGGCAAACGAACTGTTGCGAAGCTTAGCATAAGTATGAAACCGTGCTGCTATTGGCAGACTTCTCAGTAAAGAAATATCTTTGTGTTTGTGTAATCCAATGTAGATGGGGCACGAACGACCTTGACGGCTTGCTGGTTCAGCTTCAGAGTGACAGCGCACTGGGCAACGAGATGCATGGAGCCCATGTTCTGGGAGAGGTGAACGACAAGGGCCACCAGATTGAAGAGCCACGCGGGTGGCAAGGATTCGAGGAAAGTGTTGCCTGGCTCACGGTAACGGAGTACAGCAATAACGGAGAAATGAACAAACGGTATACTGAAACCTACAGAACGGAAACAGCATATCAAAAGCTGATAGGCAATCTGAGCTATAACACAGACACCAATCTATAAGTGGTAGTTCTGTGCTTACAAAGTAGATACTCCCACACTCCTATGTGGCAGCGACCTTAAAGCAGTCCACCACGGGCCATGAAAAGCGTGTATGTACAGAAACTCGTCATTTGTTGGCTGTGTTTCAAAGCATGCTAGTCAGCTAGCTAACCCCAAGCATGTGTGCATGCATAGTTCACGATCAACTTCCCATCGATCGAAAATGCCTGCAGAGCAGGACACACAAGTATGGTAAGACATGGGGAAGTGAAAATTTGTTGCATAGTTGGAATAAAAATCCTTTCACACTCAGATATACGGAAAGGAATACACATGTCAGAGCACAACAGCATAATGGGTTGAATAACCGCAGTTAAATAATGGTGGTGAGGAAAGGACGGGCGAAAGCAGGATTCTATGGCCAAGGGGCAATGCTCACATCAGCAAGGTCAGCAATGAGGTCATCTGGCGATGGAGAGAAGGCGCTGTTGACATACAAAAACTGCACAGGGAGGAAACAGGAAAAGTGGACTAGAGATTGGAAAACTACCGAGGAGTGTCGTCTTCAAAGAAACAGCAACATACGCCAAGAATGGCAAGTCAGAAATTAAAGCAATGGGATGCCTAGGAGGTCGAACAGAGGGAAAGCTAAGCACAACAAGGCGGCTTGTGGTGTATGGAGAAGGAATCGAGGTAAAAGAAGCAGTAAGAAGTGAGGGATTCAAGGTCAAGGTAAACATTTAGGATTGCATCCGAACTCATGCACCACTCAACTTCATATCCTACCTACCCCCTCGCTCTCACTCCACCCCCTTCCTTCCCCCATGCAACCTCAGATACACACTCAAACACACACACACACACACACACACACACACACACACACACACACACACACACACACACACACACACACACACACACACACACACACACACACACACACACACACACACACACACACACACACACACACACACACACACACACACACACACACACACACACACACACACACACACACACACACACACACACACACACACACACACACACACACACACACACACACACACACACACACACACACACACACACACACACACACACACACACACACACACACACACACACACACACACACACACACACACACACACACACACACACACACACACACACACACACACACACACACACACACACACACACACACACACACACACACACACACACACACACACACACACACACACACACACACACACACACACACACACACACACACACACACACACACACACACACACACACACACACACACACACACACACACACACACACACACACACACACACACACACACACACACACACACACACACACACACACACACACACACACACACACACACACACACACACACACACACACACACACACACACACACACACACACACACACACACACACACACACACACACACACACACACACACACACACCAGAGTTTCACGATGCAGTTGCCGCCTGAGAAACTCAATAACTTTTGAAAAGCGTTCCCCTGCTGCAATCTGTTCCGTTGTTCGGGAATTGTTGGGATAAATGGGAGTCAAGAATCGAGTGACGGAGGTGTGGTGAATGGGAAGGCCGGACTACACAAGGAGCACAGAGCGATGGAGGGAGGAGGACAGAGCAAGGAAAAGAGAACCACATGGCTAGGTGGGCGTGGGATAATCCGACAAGCGCAGAGAGAAACCATACGACGGGATTGACGAGGTAATAGGGGCTGTGCACGAGGCAGGAACTACCTTGAATTTTGATTGTTTCAGAATGGGTGCATTACCGGTTGACCGAAACAGGATGACAACTGAAAGCAAAGACACGCAGGAGATCGAGACTTGAGAACGAGTTCGTGGATATCCAATTTCGCATTATCATTCCATTTCACTACGTGACTCGACGGAACCATAGCTATGAAGACATCGACTGGGACGGATCTTCGCAAGGGCTCCACCACAACCATGGCGCGCAACATGAGCCATCAGTAAGAACCGCAAATTTGAGTCGAGGAGAATACCTTTGCGGGAGGATGGAGGCGCCAAAAGTGCTGCTGCCATTGACGAACAGATCAGTGCGTGGTGGAATCACAAAAAAAAATGTCCAACGGCGCCGGCATAAGGGCAGGTCTTAGTGTTCGTTTAGCGCGGTGCAAGACGTTAGAGAACGGCTGGAAGCGATTTTCGGTTTCCAGACTCAACCGTCCGAATTACTCGTCCTGCACGACCCTGCGCTTCACCTGTGGTGATGTTACGGGTGCAATGAATCGAGGTAGCGAGGATTGCACTAAGTGTCAAACGAGTACAAAATGTGAGCGAAGGCATGAGCGAACATTTATACACATGAAATTTTTTGAAAGTGTGAAACACTTTCTAAAATTAATTATTTTGAAAGCGCAGCTGACTGTAGTGAAGCAAGGCAACTGCAAATGCATATCTCCGAGTACATAACGATGGTTGGAGGCCATTTGGCCTCCACCCACGTCTTCATTTCGGAACTTTACAGTTCCGCTTCATTCTCGTCCAACCACTTCTACTCTCACTAAGGGTACATTCCTGTGGGGACACTTGTGTCTCAATCCCCGTTTTCCCGAGTCGCGCCTGTAAATTTGCCAAATGTTGTGTCACAAACAACCAATGTATCGCGACCCTGCGCGACAGATGGGCACAGCCAGGTGGGTGCGTACTATTGGTTGCGACCAATAGGATTGTGCCCACCCAGTTTTCCCGCCGGGCAGGGGGGCTAAACATATCGCACCACCTCGAGTATCGCGGTGGGCTTGCCACAGAAATGAAAGTTGCAATTTGGGCCACCCCACACACAACAGCATGTATACAACCAGTCATATGTCAGCCCGGGCAGAGCGGTTTCCATCCCCGCGCGGAAACGTGCCCAGTTCGGGCGTCCAGGTGCATGCTGTACAGTGTGAGATTTCGACACGCGTGCGATTTTCGGGATGTGACGGGGCCTCGTGTAACTCGTCCGCGACACAAGCGCAATTCACGCCAACCAATGTAAAATACAGTGGGACTCGCATAAGCGCGATCCGCTTTTGTGACAGGGCACGGTATATGCTGTTTTTAGATGTCACAAAGTGATTGAGACACAAGTGTCCCCGCAGGAATGTACCCTAATTCCTAATTCACACTTGTTTTAGTATGGGGACAACGCTAGAACAAGTGCTGCAGCAGCAACATAACTTAGTAGCTGCTACGCGCGTTAACTGCGGAGGGTACAGCATCGCGCCCGCGATGCACTTGGCGTGCGCACAACCGAGAATGAGCTGCGCATGAAGCAACGGCCACTGGCGCATCAGTGACGAAATTGCCACGTGCGCCAGTGGCGTAAGATTTTGACGAAATCGTCACTTGCGCCAGTGGCGCGCGTGTGTGGCGAAATCGCCACTTGCGCCACTGGCGCGTGTGTGTGGCGAAATCGCCACTTGCGCCAGTGGCGCGCGCCTGTGGCGAAATCGCCACGGACGAAATGGCCAGTGGCGCGGCAGTCAAGAAACTGCCACTGCCGCACCTAAGGCGTTTGACTGGGCGTCAACCAACAGTGCAGTACCCCATGCCACCTCACAAATTGTTTAGCTGCATATAAATTGTTGCAAAGTTGTTTTCATTTTATTTTTCTTCTTTCCAGTTCTAATTTCTGTGAAAATGAGAACGAGAATGAATGAACTATGAATGAAGTGAGTACATATAGGAAACCCTAATTGGGTTGTACCCCCTATGGGATACCCCACTATAGCCTACACAACAGCATAAGCTATATATATGTTCTGACACACCCCCATAGGCAAAGTGGGGGAGAACAAGGGGTCACAAGACCAGTCACGCAAAGAACAGCAAGCTCAGGGTGGATCACAAAGTCACCACACAGTCCGAGCACAACGACAAGGCCACAAGGCCAGTTCACATGCAGGAGTGCACTTATATATATAGAGCTAGACAAGCAAGAGCAGGTATATATATGTGACAGTACAAGCAAGGTCAAGAGGAGAGCAAGTGAGGCAAGACAGGTACAAGACCCAGCTGAGTGCAGAAGCGCTGATGGTCACAAGGCGGAAGTGCCTTGGTGAACACATCAGCAGTGTTGGCCTCAGAGGCCACGTACGCAAGTCGCAACTGACCACGCTGCTGCAGCTCACGAGCAAGAAAGTAACGGAGAGCAATGTGCTTCGTTCTGTGCTCCAAGCGCTGCTCTCGACACAAGGCCAGCATGGCCTTGTTGTCTACGTACAGCACTGGAGGAGAACGAGGCGGCTCTCCAAGGTCAGTCAGCAGGTAGGTGAGCCAGCGAAGCTCCTGTGCAGCCATGGCCCCGGCGTAGATCTCAGCCTCACAACTGGAGCCGAGAACAGAGGACGAGCGAGTAGCCCGCCACGAGACAGAGCCGGAACCAAGACTGAAGGTGTAACCCTGCGACGACCGCTGCGTAGCCTGGTCGTCAGCCCAAGAAGCGTCCGCGTGCCCAGTGAGCACCACTGGACTCCGCCCTCCAAGCACTAGCCCCATGCCCGACGTACTGCACAAGTAGCGCAACACCCTCTTCGCTGCAGCCATGTGCTCTGGTCGGTGTCTCCCAGGAGCAACATAGCGTGCAAGAATGCTAAGAGGGTATGCAAGGTCAGGTCGTGTGCAGGTCATCAGGTACATGAGGCAACCAACAAGCTCTGGGTACGGGCCACTCGACTCTACGGACTCATCCGAAGGCAGAGCTGAGAGCGAGTGGCGAGTAGACAGAGGAGTGGCCTGAGGCGAGGAGTACGTGAAGCCGAAGCGCTGAAGGACCTGCTGCACCATGTGTGACTGAGTCAAGGTAATGGTGCGGCGTGCTCTGTCCCGAGTGATCTGCAAGCCAAGGTAGCTGCGCAGTTCACCCAGGTCTGTGCACGTGTGTCTCTTCTGCAGCTCGGACTTCACGTAGGCTAGTCCAGCAGTGTCAGCTGTGGCAAAGACCAAGTCGTCGACGTACACGAGGATGTAGAACGGCGGCAAAGAAGTGTCGGTGCGCAGAAACAACGACGGGTCAGCAGTAGAGGGAGCAAACCCAAGAGCCGCAAGCGTAGTCCTCAGTGTGTCGTGCCACTCACGCGGTGCCTGGCGGAGACCGTAGACTGGCCGTCGGAGGCTCCACTGGGTGCCAGGAGGGAAAGTCCCAGTGAAGCCAGGTGGACGGCGCAGCCAGATCTCCTCGTGCAGGCTACCCTGCAAGAAAGCAGTGCTGAAGTCAAGAGAGTGGAGCTCGTAGTCGCGCTGAGCGGCTATGTGCAGCAGCACCCGAAGAGTGGTCATCTTCGGGGTGGGAGAGAAGGTCTGAAAGTAGTCAACTCCCTGCCGCTGACTGAAGCCACGAGCGACGTACCGCGCCTTGAAGACAGGTGGAGAGCCCGGCGGCCGCTTCACCCTGAAGATCCACATGCCACTGACGATGTTCGCCCCAGGAGGGGGAACCGCGTCAACGTAGGTGCCTGTGGACTTCCAGGACGCCATCTCTGCATCCATAGCTGCCTGCCACTGAGAGGAGTAGGGACCCTCTACGGCCTCCGCGTAAGAGCGCGGAGTCGGGATGTCTAGTGCATCCGGGTCTCCCTCAGGGGCAAGTAGTACGGACGCGAGATGAGGTGAAGCAGCAGCCAGACACTGGAACTCCTCCTGCCTGTCCTCAAGGACGTCCGTGCCAAGAGCACACTCACCCCCGACGGACGGAGGACAGACAGACGCAGACTCAGCAACAAGACCGGCAGCGTAGTCTAGACGACAGCGAGCAGCAAAGTCGACGAGCTTAGCAACAAGAGCAGACGCAGCAGTGGACTCAAAAGAGGGGTCAGTGACGACAGTAGCAAGGAGACGTGTGACAGTAGGACTGGTAGCACGAAGAGAGTCGGACTCAGGGTCGGTAAGTGCAGGAAGAGAGGACTCAGGAGGAGAAGGCAAAGGGGCACGCAGAGGAGCAGTGGACGGACGCAAAGACATCCGGTGCGTGCCAGGGACAGGAGGAGGACGCTGACGCGAACCACGACCACTAGCGCGAGCAGCACGAACAGGCGACGCAGGACGAGACGCAGGCTCACGACGCTCAGCAAGACCTCCAGTGGGACCAGTGTAAGGAGAGGGAGCAGGAAGTGGGGAGGCGGGCTCTAACTGGGACTGTGACTGAACAGGCGGTGGACACGCTGCAGGAGGAGAAAGACCAAGAACCTGCTGTAGGAGTGGAACGAAGTACGGCCGAGGCCGCGCGGCGACTCCAGACACAGCAGGGACAGCACCCTCAGCAGCAGCACCAGCGCCAACAGCACCTCCAGGGGCAGGACCTCCAGCAGCACCAGCAGCACCAACACCCGCAGCAGCTCCAGCTCCAGGCGGACCCGAAGGCCCAGCAGCTCCGGGACCAGCGGCACAAGTACCCTCAGCAGTCGAAGGAGCTCCGGCTCCAGCAGTACGTCTCCAGCGGCGAGCAAACCACTCGCGCAGCTCCTGTGGAGAGAGGGGCTCCCGCCGAGGCGAAG